ACTTAAAATGTTCGATTAAATTAGCATACCTGGTTTTTACAGTGTAAAATCCTGGCCACACCCTTAATAATTCCCACACTTTCCAGTGTGCTCCCTAATTGTTGATGTTCAGCCCTAGTGCTTTGTTTATTTGTCTTCTATGGCTCTTTATGTCCATGACCCACCTTACGCATTTAAGTGTAAGAAACTACACTTACTTGATACTACTATAAGTGACAAATTTGCACTAGCAGTAAAATTGGAAAATGAAGAGAATAAATTCAGTGTACAAATAATTAAATACTGGGTTTAACATGGGATTCGTATGTCTGTAACTGATATATTAGGAGTAGGCAACCTGCGGCTCCAGAGCTGCATGCAGCTCTTTAGCCCGTCCAGGGACTCTCTGCGGCTTTGACAAAAAATATTATAATTCATTTAGTTTTTAGTTCAAATAACTTTGCATTACAGTGTGGCTATTACACACAAATAATAATAAAAACGTTTTAACATTTCATCAACTAAAGTATACATCATATGGTGCCACTTTCTATATATTTTGTCAAACTTCATGGCTAATAATCCTGAGCCTCCCTTCTTCCAAATCCAAAAAAAGGAAACGTCTTGGAGGAAAACGAAGAATTTAATAGTGCATGGACAGATTAATTTGCTTTCACCACCACGCTACTGGCTTACTGGTATGCTTGATCTGCGGAGAGAAAACAAATATATGTTTTGTGGCTCCAGACAGATTTGTCTTTGTCTTTATTTGACCAAAATGGCTCTCATGGTAGTAAAGGTTGCTAACCCCTGATGTAAGGGAACCTAACACGTTTTTTTTTTCTTCTACAAAAGAGATCAAACTCTAATTATTGACTAGCAGCAGTGATTACATACTGTACTGTACTGAGCTGCTAACTAACTCCTGTCTGAGGATGTTCAGAGTGCAGACGCAGTAAGGTGGATGGATTCTCTATCAAAAATGACAGGCAGCCCATTAAATCCAAGCCCCCATTCAGCAGTGTTAACAAAAGCCACCAGTCCGACCAGGCTGGATAATTGAAACGCAAACAACTGATCAAAGTAAAGCTCCAGCTCGACAGTTTCATTGTTTATGTACGGGCCTTATGCGAGACCTGTTGACTTTTCCAATTGGAGCTGTAAACTTTTGTTTGTCCATGCATTTCCAAGACTGATTGTCAGTCTGATCTGAACAATTACCAGCTAAATGTGTTTGCCAGCTCAGGCAGAGCTCCCCTCCCTCTTTGCTGCCCTAAAAAGATCAAAAGGAAAGACCCCCTCCCACTCCATAGCCCCCTTGAAACACCCCACCGCAACCCCCAGACATCCCCTATACTCCCCGTATCCCTCCTCCCAACCTCTTCATTTCCTTTTAGCCATGACAGTTCAGCTGGAAAGCCAACCATAAATGATTTTTTTCGACGGCCCAGTGTTTGGGACATGGCCTTGTTGAGAGCGCAGCTTTCAACAAGGGGACATGTCTTTTAAAAAAGAGAAAGAAAGAAAAACGATCTGCATATTTCAATTATGTGCGGTTGTGCTCAGCTGATCAAAGAGCTGCAGGGATGCCACTCGTAACTGAAGGCTTGAGGACCCTCATGATGTGAATGAGTGCAAATTGATGCTACTGATGCTAAACGGTTAAGCGCCTCACAAAATGTTATAAGGTCAATCAACTTTTGGTAGTCATTTGACCATGACACAACCTTGGCAGCTTTAGTGGCTAAATAGGCCTCAGGGCTGGGCTGTTTTTTTACTCTCATTCTATTGCACAATGTTTGTAAAAATCACAATATGAGGTGAGGAGGGAACGCTGATAACTAACCTTTATCAGAAACTGAGTGTAAATGAGTGTAAAAAGTCAAGCAGGTTAATGATATTAACGATTATAACGATAATGGACATTCACCACATTAAATTGATTTTTATCATGATACATGTTAATATTGTATACCGTCCTACCCCTAGTCCATATTAACATGTACAGTGTACACTGGGCATGTGCGTGCTGGAGTAAACAGGAAGCAAGACAAAAATAATGAAGCAGAAATCTGATCTTAATCTTAAAACATTGTAAATAGCATTGTGTATTGTACTACTATTGAATGCTAATGAAAACCAAACAGAGAGCACCTATAACATCTATAAAGTAACTGCATTAGTTGGTCAGTTTTAGGATTGATTTTAACATAATTTTCCATGTTTTTTCTGCCACTAGGGGGTCTCTCACATGTATTTATATGGTAAATGGACCTGTACTCTGTATAGCGCTTTCTACCGCTTCCGACCACTCAAACGCTTTTACACTACGTCGCCACATTCACCCTTTCACACACATTCACTCAGTGGGATGCAAAGTCCATCGAACAGAAACGTAATCAATTCACACACATTCACACACCTGATGCATGCATCGGAGCAATTTTGGGGTTCAGTATCTTGCTCAAGGATACTTCGACACGGCGATACTCGAACCAACAACTTCCGAATTGGGGGACGACCCGCTCTGCCTCTGGCCACAGCCGCCCGCTTACATAAACGCATTACACATGCACAAAGAGGAATAATTTGTCAGACAACTGGTGAAACGCAGTGTTACCTTGAATAAAATGACAGATTTCTGGAGTTTAATATCGTTGGAAAACTTTGTCCAGTCCCCGGATTCTTGCAAATTGCCATTTGGAGCGATAGAACGAGGCAGGAGGAACCTGCTTTTAGATAAGATAGATAATACTTTTTGATCCAAGCTGGGAAA